TGTGTGTGTGTGTGTGTGTGTGTGTTATAATTGTATTTTAATTATAATATTATAATACATACACACACTACCTCTTTCCCAAACGCACCAACTTTACACTTAGTTTCCTTTCGTCTCCTCTCCTAGAATTTGTTTACTTAATGAGGGAAATGTCATACATCTCCCTCTCCTCTCTGCTGTTTGCTGCTTTTTTCATATCAGCTAAACTATCCAGTAGTCAGAGTGTGGGTTTGTATAAGCAGCTACCTAAAAGTCATCTAAAGCCAGACCCCTTAGTATGTTCATGTGTACTACAAATACTAAATGACAACTGGTATTTCTGTTTCTAGTCCTATAGTCTTGATCTGAATCCAGAAGCACAAAGATTTAAAAGACAATTCATTATGTAAGAGAGGGGGGAAGCATGTCTACACATCAAAAAATATATACTGCTTCAGGTTTTTGTTTTTTTTAATCTGTATAAAAAGATCAAAAAGCCCAAAGTGGGTTTTTTGTTGGCATTTTTTCCCCCAAAACCAATTTGCGTGTCCCTTGTTGATGACTTTTCCCACCAAATTTGTTTTCCTCTGTCCTTTTCACAGTAAAGGCTTCATGAAACTCTCGCTGTTTGTAGGTTTAGTATTCATTGCAAGATGACCTGGTCAGACAGTGTAATGATGTGGTAAATTGGTATACATGAGCTGGTTCAGGGCTTCAGTGTTCTGAGTTCCTGGGTAATTTAAACCAGCATTAATTGCATCAAATACATGTTTACTTGTTGAAGTATCTGTGATTCCATTGTGGGATCTTGTTTTTATTACAGTATTGATTTTAGGACCCCAAATAAGATCAGGGTGCCGTTGTGCTATGCACTGTAGGGACACTTGATAAGAAAATGGTCCCTGTACCAAAGTGCTTGAACACCTTTTTAATGCTCATGTGCTTGATGTCTGGTTCTTCAATCAATATAAGTATTCTTTTAAACTGGCTTCATAGACAATAGGTGACATTCAGCCCAAATGAAACTGCAGCTATTTCATTGGAGTTACAGCAGGGAAAACTCAAGTTGGAAAGATCCCCAACAGGTATGCACTGCAGCTTAAACATTTTTAATACTCTGGGGACAGATTAATTCTGCTCAATATCTTTTGATTCACCTGCAACATAAAGGAAACTACAGACACTTTTATAGAAGAATTGAAATGCAATTGAGTCACTGTTGATATCTCTGTAGTCTTTGCTCAGTTACTGTTTTGCAGCTGCTTTTTCCATTATTCAGTGAGTTGCCACAGAAATCCCTTTGACTGTGGTACCATGAGGAGTTTGTTTCTCCAGCCATAAGAGGAATAGTGTTAAATCTTGATCACAGCTATTTCTATACTAGTATAGAGAGATTCTGCACTTGAAGTGAAGGCCTTAAATGAGAGTTTGTACAGCAAGCAGCTGTGTCAGCTGATAAGAAAGGTGTCCCAGTTTCACTTATGAAGCTTCCTATACTTTTTGAACCAGGCTTTGGAGACCTTCTGTGAAACACAATGGATCCCTGGTGCATGACAGTACAAATAATTAAGAAATGAATGGAACTGCCTTGAATTTTATGCATTCCAGCTGTGCAGAGTGGACTGGTTTCTCTGTTACACTAACATCTCTTTGCACCATCTAAACAACATAAAGGAACCATCTCAGCTGGTATAGAACAAGACCTGGACATGGCAGATTGGTAAGGTGATCTGCAAAATGGGACTGGAGTGAGCTGCTCTTCCACTGTTCTCTTCTTCCTGGGAACTGTGGAGAAAGAAATGTACAGTAGGGAGTTAAGAAGAGCACTGAGGGTACTCTAACTCTGTAGTACCCTGGCAAATTCAGGCAACTCCAGAATATAGGTAACTCAGAGGAGGCTACGTTACCTTTTGCCTAAGAACATGAGTGTAAAAAGCAGATATAAAATGGTGACATTCAAATTTGGTAGTTCACACTTGCTTTTTATAGTTGTCTGCAACTGAAGAAGGTATAAGGCAGTGGTGCATCAAAGCCAGTGAGCCAAACTTTGATGTTAGCTACAATTTTGTAACCCTGTTGAAGTGAACCAGCTTACACAGCCTCATCAGGGGCAGAAGCAAAGGAGAAAACCAGTACCTGCTTAAACTCCAGGGACTCCAGTACAGTTACACCAGCAATTGAGCTGCCCCATTGTGTTCCAGAAACTTACATTTGGATTCCCTTATGCTACAGCACGATTTTTGCCAATGCTGTGACTGAGTTTACCTATGACGCTCTATGCCTAGCTGTAGAAGTCAAAGTGAACTGCCCCATTTTTCCTTTTGAATACTTAAATTCTACTGAAGTTTTGTGGTTGGGTTTTTTTGTTCATTCTTGAGTGTCTTAAATGAATATACCTGTCCATGTGACAACTACAACCCAAACATTTGTCTCATTTTGTTAGTACAAAATAGCATAAAAGTGAAAATGAATGTAAACCTGATTCTGATTGTCCTTATATGGCTATAAAATTGGAGTACCTAGAAGACAAACATCTGGGAGAATGAACTATAAACAAAAAATAAGGTGATAGTCTCTTTCTTATCTAAGCAAAGAGAAATAAAAGGAAAAGAGAAACTGCATAAAAACTGAAAAGTAATTAGATTTTTAGAATTCTCTCACTTACAATCAAAAGCGGGATTCGCTTTTTAGGAAAAGGAATTTGCATTTTTATTTATTTATTTATTTATTTATTTATTTATTTTTGCTTTTTAGACTAGTTTTAAGTCTGATCACTTTTTAAACTAGTTTTAAGCCTGGTCACTGAACTTTTCCCTCCTTGGAATTGGACAGCTGATTGATATACATGTCAATGTCAAGTGCAGAGAGAACTGCCAAAGTCTGCATCAGTAATCCAGTGATCAGTTGGTGACATTAAATAGATACAGATGGCAGATAGTAGGGAGAGCAACCAAATCCAGCCAGGATTCACTTTGCCATAATGAAATTCATCAGGATTCACCTTGCCAGAGTAGAGAATTGTGACTTTATTTGGGGGGGATGAGCAGTAGGGGTGTTCCACACAGTCTCTGCTTAAAAAAAGGCATTTGCATATAAAGACCAAAATTATCTATGGACGTACTGAGGTTTATCTATGCTGTATGCAAGTTTAGTTGCCTAGTTATGTAAAGCATATAAAATTGCATGACTGCTTCAGTTAATATATTGTTTCCTATCAGACTGTTCAAGTAATCAGAAATCAGTCTGCTTTCCACAGTGCTCTTTCTCATGCTTTTCTCTAGGAGAGTTCAGTGGGGCTGAGGAGGAAGGAGGTGGCGTGTATATGTCCCCATTGCAGTATTCCCACACTCTACATAGGATCTGTGATTGCAATTGCAATGTCCTTTGCTGTATAAAACATCTGATGCAGATAGTCTGAATGCTTTGTACAAAATGAATAGCTGTAATGAAAAGTGATTCTCTTCTTAAACCACATTAAGTTCTTTGTATTTCTTATCATACCACTGTGTGTAAGATGACAATTGAGTCCAATGTGTTTTGCAGTCTATGCAGCTATTTAACCTCCACTGCATGAAGAAATGTAGACTGAGATACTAGCTGTCATTAGGTCCTTATGCAATTTATACACTACCTGCTTCCATTCACATTGGGTATCTGATCCTACTCTCCCTGTAGCAAGTGACAAGATGGCATTAGTATTATCTGTTGCTATAAATGAGGTGAATTGGGGATAGAGGTGTTAAAGTGTTTCTCCTGTTGGAAAGTGACTTGATCATCTATTGTTGAGCTGCCTATGCCGAGTAGTAAAAATTGACCTGTTCTTATTGGCCTGTGGTCAAGTTGAGCTTCTAATTCATACTCTACCTCACCAAATAGAAATATATGCACTCTCCTACATTTAAAGACAGTGTGCGCTAGTTCTGCCATAATACATAGCTTACTAAAATGTCTGTGTGTTTGGGGAAGGAAAAAAAAACAAGGTTTTAAAGTGCTGAACCTAACACTCAGTTTTGTTTCTTTTTTTTCCTGCAGAGCAGAGATGAAGACCACAGGTAAGAGTATATTTTTTGTTTGTTTGTTTGTTTGTTTGTTTTGTTCACTTGCAGTCATAGCTTTTCTATAATGCTTAACCTTTTATTGAAAATACCTTTTTTTCTCTTTTACGTGAGAAATAGGGTGGTGGAGACTATATGCAAGCATACCTTTTAACTGCTTTTAAAGGGGAGGGGGAGCTATAGCTTGAGAGCATACACCAGCTGTTACTTTAGGTCTGCATGATCCTGTAGTGATATGTTAGTTAAATTGCTGAAACCTTAAGCTAGAATGAAACTGGGTTAAAGTTGAAATAGCTTTGCTACACTTGTATCACTATAGAAGCCCTGAGGTGTAACAGTTGGATCATAACAGCTTGTAGCAGCATCTTTGGACAGAGGTGTAACAGGGCAGAGTAGCAGCTCTGTGCTGTGGGCAGTGGCTCACTGCATGGGGCAGTGGCTGCTGGACTGCACAGTGGTGGCAGAGTGATTAGCTGCTAGTTACAGCAGCAGTAGCTTTTTCTGCTCCCCTCTCCCCTCTTAGTTATGCTCCTGTTTTGATATGGATGCAGTTGTTCCTTGTGTCTGTACCCCAGGTGGATGAATGCTGGAAGCTATGGTCTGGGGGCTCCTATACACATGCAGAGAGGCTGCTCTAACATGCTGTAATTACAGCACATCAAAGCAGACTCAATTAATTGAGTCTGGTGGAGTGTGGTAATAGTGTGCTCCAGCAGACTCTAGCATCATGCGTATTAGTGTCCCTGTGCTGACAAATGGTGGCGGAGCACTTCAAACTAAAGCTGGTTTGATGAGCTGTAGTTCAAAGTGCCCTGCCACCATTTTTCAGTGTGGGGATGCTGATGCATATGACACTCCAGGCACTTTTAATTAGTGCAACTCTTGGAGCTGCGTTAATTCAAGCACCCAGCCTCTTGGAGCATGTCTATAAACACCCTGGAGTTCTAAGCTTGACTGTGCTGGTGCCTGTTCTTAGTCTCAGACCAGCAGAGACCCCCTATGCCTGAAGAAGGGTGTCTGTGCCCAAAAGCTTGCCAAGAACTTTTTTCCGACTACTCAGCTGGTCTAATAAAAGGTATCGCATCGACTCAAAGAACCTTGCCTGTTCTTAGACAATGCACTTTAGTCATAATGCTCAGAATTCAGTACCTAAAACCCTAATTAGGTGGCTTGATAATCAGGGTGCTCAGCACCCACAGTTTCCATTAGCTCAGTTTTTGGGTATCAGTTTTAATATAGTAGTATGTTGTTCCCATGGAACAAATTTAGGCTGGAAATTGGAACAACAGCACAGGGGTGAAGTGCTGAAACAATAATAGTGGAGAGAGAAACTTGAAGAGGCTTCAAGGTGGAGCTTGACCAGTTGATGAAAGGTATTATATGATGTGGTTGCCTACCTTTCCTATCTTCTGTTCCTAAGTCTAGGGAAGGATGACATTTTATTGAAGTTCAGTGGCTCTAAAAGAAGTGATCATTACTGGGCCTGCCAGTTCCTTTGCAATGTAAACTTACCACTGAACCAAACCTCTCCGTTTTTAAAAAATAGGCACCTGATCCTATACTGCTTGCACTGTTAGAACTTCCACTACATCAAAGAAAGTTCTGTTATATAAGAAATAGTGGGTGGGCCTTATGTGGAACACTTCAAAAGCAAGTTATAAAATCCAAACTGTAACTATGTCTGCATCTGTGGTGGTCCTTCCTTGAATTATTTTAAAAAACTGAAGTACCTGTACACTGCTGCCCTTGACAGCAGGGAATCCTGTAAGCCATAAATACTGTACTGCTTAGAAATTCCTAAGTTGGATGTGCTTTTCAAGTAGAAAAATCGGCTTGCAGTCATAAAATTCCAAGTAGCCCTGGGGTGTGGAACGGATTTACTAGACAGCCCCCAAAAGCGTTGTGGCATATGGGTTCCTTTTGGTTTATATTATTGCCTTAAATTCTTCCATGTGTATGGGTGAACAGGGAGCATGGGAACAAATGAATGCTGACTGTGTGGTTACCATTACATTGTTTAATTCTTCTGTTCATGTCTATATACACCTGCCGCTTAAAGTGAGACCATGCATGTATGCAGAAAGTTAAAACCAGGAATCACGGGTGGTTGGGAATGGGATTATGTGAATTATTCCAGAGAATAGGGATTGCTCAAGTGAGTCAGGCAATAGTCCTTGTAGTCTGTTAGCACTGCTTTAATTTTAGCCAATGCCCACTGTTTCAGAATAGGATACAAGAAATCCTGAAGAAGGGAACTGTGGAATAATATGCCCATTTTCCTGCCAGACAGAATGTATCCTGAACCCCCATTAAAAGTAGATTTATGTCCAAAAGCATAAGGCTTATAGTCTTCTAAAATTCCTAGTTATTTTTGTAACCCCTCCTGTCATAAGTGAATATTTCTGTTTCTGTGGAAGTGACCAAAAGTCTTCTTGCATTGGTTGCCTCCGGTTAACTAAACTATTGAAATCTGATTAAACTAAGCCTGGTCTGGACTCTCTCATAAATTTGTGGTATATTGCACTTGTTATTTTCTTCTTGCAAAAAGCAAAATTATGTACAGTTCTTCTGCAGGTCTGCATCTAGGGAATCTGTGTGGGCGATGTCTAAGGGAATCCTGTTTTCTTGACTCGCTGTATTTAAATGACAATGGTTAGTGCAGGCTGACAAACTGAATGGCTTGTCCTAATTCTTCCTCTTCTCATATTCCCTCTGGAATCTTTCATGCCCATATGCTGTTCTGCATTAAAACCGTCTATCTTAATTCTGTATGGGGCACAAGGCATTCCTCAGCCCTTCTAAGGAAACTGTTGTTTTACCAACTGCCAGTCCAGTGACAGCCCTGAGGGTATATAATCTGCAAAAGACATGTTTATTCTACATATAGAGGATCCTAAATGAGAACTGGCTTTGTAGCTGGACTGAATTGGACAGTGTGGTAAGAATGAGCCAATTATGATAAGAGGATGACCGAGGAAAAATGGATCTTTGTTTTCTGTTAGTGTGGGACTTTTGGTTTGGCTGCAGATGGTTTAATGCCTTTTCAACAGGACATTAGCCAAGAGGTAACAAGCAGGTGCTAACTTGTTAGAAGCCAGTGATGAAGTGCTGCTTCCTTAGACCTGTCCTGATGTACTCATTGATACTAATTAGTTTGTTTATGGTGTGCTTCTGTCTGACTCAATCTGTTCTAATTAACAATTCAGTGCAGACTGTTACTGAACTTCTGAAGTTTCATTCATTCTAACATGCTTTTCAACATCCCTTGAAATCAAGTACACCTGGTTAATAAAGGTGCCAGTAACAATGCAGTATAGGAATGCACTGCAATTGTAAGAGGGAGGGATATGGGGAAAGGTGACAAGGCTTCTGTGAGAGTGGGAGTATTGTTAAAAATACAAGTAACACTAAGAACTGGTGTTCTAGTTCTTCCACCAGTTTGATTTGCTGACCACATGCCTGACACTAGACTGTTCCATACTGTCTTGCTCAGTGTGGTAGTAACATAGAACACTACAGGTGAAAATCTGTGGTGCACAGACAGCAGAGAAGGTCCAAAGATGGAGACGGCTTCAGTATCAAAATAGCACAGACTGCTCTATTGACTGTTTGTTTAATAATAATAAACCCCATAATTTAAATGCAACAGCAGGTTCAGACAGAATTTCCATCAAGAGCTGTAAGGTCCGATTTGCCATTTAGCACAAGGAACCTCCTCCATAGGTTGAGGCAGTTGACCACAAGACCACCCACGCTGGCAGAGGAAGGAGTGGCAATGAAGTGGCCTTCCAGCTCTCCCTGTACCCTTGAAGCAGACCTGATTCAGGAGGGCACTGTTGATCTCACTCCAACAGACGCCTTTGGGGAATTGTAGACTTGAGGATGGGCTTTGCCTTCATTGTGGCTGTGCTAGGGTGAATAAAGCCAAATATGTAGCCCTTTGCTTTGTCACCTCTTTTCTGTGGGACAGATTCCAACTTCGTAAAGGCTGGGTGTCCTAACCTGCCAAAGAGGTGGAAGAGGACCACAGCATTTCAGTAAGACTGTTGGAGACTCCATGTAGCTATATATCTAGAAGCCTTAATAACTTATTAAATTTGCCTGTCTCAGGTACATTGTGTGCTTTGGATTGAAGTCCTTAAATAATTGGTGGTTTGTGTGGGTGTTAAGAATACCATAGTATTTTTTGTGAGTGTAGGAATTTACCAAAATTCTCCTGTTGCTTTTCTCACAGCCCTGGGTCTGCTCTTTACTATGCTGTATTTTTTAAGTATATGAAGCACTTTTTGTGATGAAAGTCTTGATGAAAATGTGAAATGTAAAATGTGTTTTTTCTGGTCTACATGATGGGCACAGAACCTTCCTTGTTTACCTCCAATCTGCTCTGCCGATACAAATTATATCACAGCAGTGCTTCCTTTTGCCAGTTCATTTTCTGTGTAGGTAACGCTAGTGTATCGGGCATTCCAGATGCAATGTTCACTTGCTGTAGCAAAGATTTAAGACTTCCTATATTGCTCATTTCTTAGGACTTGGATTCTAACCCCAAGTTATTCCAAACAGCAGTGACTGAAATCCCTGACAAAACTGAATGGACTGTTGTAAATCAGTCAAATGAATCTTAAACACTAATGCAGTAGTGCATGTGTTGTATGGGGCCTACATGTAGCTCGCTATGCTCTGCTGATATTGGACTGTAATTCTCTCCTGCACTTTTATGGTCCCAGGTTCCTTTTGCTGCACCATTTACAAAGACCCTTCAATTTTATGCATCAAGGACAAGTTCTATTGCTAAAATAACTTCCAGAAGTGACTTTGGGCATCCATTGAGCCCCATAGCCTTTGAGGAGCCTGTGCCTTACTAAAGCTGTTCTGTGATAGTGAAGATGTTACCAGGATCCAAGCAGAAGAATAAATTATAAACAGGGATAATCTGCTCACCTTACACAGACCAATGTGGAGTTAATAGCTTGGCTTCCCACTAGGGAGTAGTTGCC